GGTCACTGTAACATGGACGTGACTGCATTTTAAGATGACTAGAAAGGTAGGAAGGGCTGAGGTTATAAAAAGCCTTAAATGCCAAGCAGAGGAGTCTATGTCAGATTCAATAGTTCATAGGAAGCCACAGGGTTTTACTGTGTGAACTTGCACGGTAGGAAAATCACTCTGGCAGATGAGGGGAGGATGGAATGGAGTGGGGGCCTATTTGAAGCAGCAAGATCAATTAAAAGGCTATTGAATAATCAGGGCAAGATGTGATACTTGGTTGAGAGGGCTGTGTTGAGTGGAGAAAATGAAATGATAAAGGAAAAAAATGGCAAGTAATCTGGAAAAAGAAGTAACTCTATAGAAGCCAGAAACTTAAGAGAGAAGGAGTAAAATTCTCAGCAAGAATGGTAAGAAATCAATGGTCAAACAAAACTACTGCAGAAACCTGAGAAAATTCTTGACTAGTAATCTTATCAGATGCTATGAATTCAATTATCATCTCTACACTGATAATTCTCAAACCTACTTACCCAATCTAACCCTCTTTGCTGAACTCCAGACTCACGTCTCCTACTGCCTACTCAACATCTCAAACAGGATGCCCCAATCCTAAACTCAATGGGTCCAAAATCCTAACTGTTATCTTCTCCCCCAAAGCCTCCCCTCCTTTTAACTTCCTTTATGCTGTTGTGGGTACCATCATATTCCCAATCACTCAGGCTCCCAACCACAATGTCATCCTCAACTCCCCACCCTCACCTCCCCATATTAACCTATGTATGTAGCCTCCTTCTTTCCTCTGACACTAACACCACCTTGGTACAGATCCTTACTTCTGCCCTATTTCGATAACCTGCCAGCTGGTCTCCTTACCTAGTGTCTCCCTACTACAATCCATGCTCAGCTACCAAAATGACACTCCTAAAGCACAGGTCTAAAGCCTTTCATAACCCGGTCCCCTCAATCCACAAACAATGGCCTCCTCGAACAAGACACTCCTTTTCCTGACTCAGGAAATATTTCAGACTACTCCTATCCTCTTCTTCCTAATCACCACCGTCTGGTTTACCTGCCTTTCTTCAAGCGCCAGCTAAAATCCCATCTACAAGAAGCCTTTCCCCATCCCTAGTGCCTTCCCCCGTTGATTCTCTCCAATTTATTCTATTTGTAACTTGTTTTTCCGCAGTTTTCTGCGAGTTGTCTTACCCATTAGACTGTGAGCTTCTTGACAGAGGGATTGTCCTTTTTTTTTTCTTCTTTATATCAAGAGCATTTGCACAGTGCACCTGACATACGTTAAGCACCTAATAAAATGGTTGCTGATTAACATTAGGCTTCTGTGTAATCTACAATTCTTTGACCTCTCATTCTTTCTTCTATTGTTGGAATCATACTTAATGAAAGAAACTTCAGAGCTTACACTCTGCTGGCATAGTGTTCAAGAATCCAAGTTCACCTCTATGACAGAAGGAAGGAAAGTTTAAGGATCTTTGCTTGGATTTTTGTTTAACTTTACCATAACCTTCCATTAAAAAAATAGAAAACTGAAATTAAACTTTATTTTAATAGAAGAAAGAAGGCAGTATCTGACAGCCTTAGTTGAAAGTGGAGGTGACAAACTCAAATAGAGATCCCTGCAGACTGCAGACTGACTTGTGGATGTGGGATATTATCCATTTTATCCATTAATATTAGAAAAACCACAAATTAACATTCTCTATGTTCTGCTGTATTTTTATTCATTTTGTTAAACATTCCCAATTACATTTTGATCTGGTTACCCTCCCTTAACCCCAGTTTGACACCTCTTGTCAAAGTGTATCAATGTTATTGCCAGACCCAGTATTTAATTGATAACCACTTACTGTCAAAATGTTATTCAAGTATATCTCTGAATCTCCTAAGAAAGCTCAGGGCAAGCAGTCATGACAATGAATAATTCTTATTGATAACTCTTGAGCTTAGCTGTCCTGCTTTGAACCTTCTAGCACCTCTCTGCTTTGTCTAGCACTGAAGGCACCATGTCATCAATCTAAATTATACACAGAAAGACAGAAAGATAAAGAAGATTTTCCACGGATAATGCTTCTTGCAGTAAATATGCCTATACAGTGTGGCTTTTGTCAATGCCATTATAAGAAAAGTAAGGAATGGAATGAAAGTTCAAAAGTATTTTAAACATTCTTTTTCAAAACTCATTAAAATCAGTCTTAAATATCTGGTTATTTAGGGTATAAAAGATGGACTGTCTGTCAATTTAAAAGAGTAATTATTCCACCGATATTGATGCTTTCCTTTGTTCTTGACATTAAGTATGCCATTTATACTTTCCCAAAGAAGAAATTTTATCAGGTAGAAAGTATACTATAGCATTACATAAAAAGAACTATTCATTTGGAATTTATTCAACTAGTATTTTATTACTAGTTATTATCAAGTCTCTCATTGCTCCACAGGAAGAATAACCAACAGATATTTGACTAGTTAAACAACTTAATAGCCAATAGCTAGCATTTGTAGGCTATATGCTTAGCTCAAGCTTTTTTTCTAAGGGTTACACATAAGATTTCAAATGTACACACTTGGCTCTCACTCATCAACAAAGTGTAGGAGAAACCTGGAAGTCAGAAGGTCTGAGTTCAAATCTCATGAACCACCCTTTCCTCTCACCCCCAGTCATTATGTGTAATAATGAATGGTGTGTATATAAATATTATTGCATTTTATCCCAAATTATCTACATTAAAAATCCTATATGACTTATCATCATCGAAGCCATTCTCTTGAAAAATTTTTATTGTAAAATTATTAGTGTAAGGACAGATTGCCTTGCATGAAAATAAAAGAACTTTCCAATTTGCAAAGTACTACAAATATTTTTTTCTTTACATATTTTCAACAGCAATCATGTCCTTGAATTAAAAAGCAAACACTTATTACACATAAAAAACAGTGTCTTATTACACAAAGTATTTTTAAAAAAACCTCATTAGCAGTAGGCTTATAAATCTAAATTAAATAAATTAGGCAAAAAACAAGAACTGGTCTTTTGTTTTCCAAGCAAATGAAATGCCAGAAAGCCTTTATACCAACTTTTTTTAATTAAGTAAGATAAGCTCGAGGCTAATCTTCATGCACTAATTTTGGACCAATTAGCTATGCCACATTTACAGTTTGGACTGGAATAAATATGGAGTTTAGCCCCAAGTTGAAACTGGGGCACAGATGCCACTCCAGAGACCAGACAAAATGGTGGCTTCAATCTGGTGAGCTATTATTTTAATCACTAAGTTACCATGACCTCAGATCCTCTGCTCAATTCAATTAATTATCCCACTACTGACTTGTAAAATTTCACTTCAGATTTGCCCAAATCATTATCAGATGCTTAAAAAAGTATGTACACCTAAATAGATACTAACAACTTCCATAAATTATCAAAATGGAAATTTGTAAAAGAAAGGATTAAAACAAAACATTCTTTATCAAAGGGAAGGGAAAAGATGTTTAAAAGTGAAGGAAGTTAGTCCTGAAGAATAATTTGACACAAAAGGAGTCTCAACTGTGTTTAAAAAAAATGTCTAATAACAGAATGATATTAGGAAAAATTATGATAAAATGAAGAGATAATTAAAATACTTTATTAAACATATAGTAAGTACTTATTAAATATTTGTTGAATCGATCTTTGATTCTTTAATATTTTAATTCTTTGATGATTTAGGTTTCACTCTGTTCCTTTAAATATTCAGAAACTTAACTAGTGTGATGTTGCCATTTTCAAATACTCAGATAAAACGTCTTCACATAGATAATACTAAATAAATCATATTCAAGGTGGATATTCATGATTTAATCCAGAATATATCAGAAATTTTCTAACTACTATAAAGAGTTCAAAGAAAAAATCATTTTTTCCAACAGTCACATCTACTCCAGTCCACTGAGGACAGGTTTGTCTTTTAGTTGGGTTAATAATATCAATACCTGGAGTGATGACCTCAGAGGATGCTTAGGAGTCTCCATTAAGATCAGATCTGTAAAGTGCCTTAAAAAACTTACATTAATTGAACAAATAGAGTATTTTTTTTAAAACCATCGATGTTTTAGATATGTATATAATCTATATAAAATAAAAATGTATTTTATATAGCACATGGGGTAAGATAAAAATGTATATAATCTATATAAAATAGAAACGCATTTTATATAGCACATGGGATAAGATAAAATGAACAGCTTCTCAAAATCCCAAGAGATCTTTTTCAAGTATGGTAAACATAAACAGTTCTATGTTTTGAAAGTAAATTTCAGAAAGAAATGTTTATAGAACTATATAAATTTAACATGTCTGTTTAATGTTCTAGTCCTTTAATATAACTCTAATTTGCTTGTTAAAATGAACTTCTAGTATTTTTAATCTCATACAAAATACAGGAAGTCCCTAATCAATTGGTCTACAGAAGAAATATCCTTTCTCATGAATGGACAAGCTTATCACTGCCTGATGGAGGATGAGTCTTCCAATCCTCCACAAACAGTAACTGTTCAAGTCTTCAGAACCATTATAGAACCATTTTAGCAACAACTTAAATTTATAATTGCCAGTGTATAGAGAAAAAAATAACCCATATTACGCAAATTTGCTGTATACAACCTACACTTCACTGAAAATACCTTCAGTATGCTGCTATTAAAGATGTAAATACATCAAATATTATTTATTCCATGATACCAGAATTTAGTAGCAATACAGAAAAATTTTCTTTACCCACACACATAATTCTAAGCAAGTAATAAACCAGTGACTACAAAAAATTTCCTTTTGACAAATTATTAGCTTGCAAATCAACTAAAAGGACTTAACATTAAAAATTAAGTGAAAAGTTAACTATGTGTTGGGCACAGATTAGAACCATTATTATTTTCATTTCCCAGCTTTAAATGATCCATGGAAGGTGGCAGACTTACAAAAGTACAAACTGAAAGCAAAGTCATAGATAACTTACCAAAATTCAAATAAGTAGTCAGATCAGCTCTACTGGTTGTTGATGTGTGATCTTCAGTACTTTGATACATTTCAAGTCTCCTATAAATAACACAGAAAACAGTGGTATAGGTAACTCTGTAATGTAAAAATGAAAAATGAATGAAAAATATTAATGATGTAGTAGCGTAACAGCTTTTAAAGCCTAAATTACTGATTAAATGTAGGCACTTAAGAAACCATCTGTTCTTCTCAGGTCACTGTGTAAAAATTCATTCGAGTTGTAGCAATCACCTTACATCTACCTCTTACACCTCATAACCTTTTAAATGAAATCCTATGGGGTACTTACAAGCCAATAGATGTTTAGGGAAAATGTTAGTAGTATCCCCACCCCCTACCCCCACAGTTTAACTTCTAAAGGATACTGAACAGAAGTAGAAAACCTAACAGACTATGACAGTAATTTCACCTTTGAGAGCCCATCAAAAAGCAGAATGGGGTCAGGGTTTAAATGCAGCTTATGTTGTCATTCACTTGGTTAAATTTTTAATGAACATTCTTCTGTATTTTTAAAAACGTCTGTGTTTAAATGACCTTTTTTTTGCCCTTGATGACTTTTTTCTTTAAATTTTCAAGTAACAAGTACTTTTAATTAATCTGTACTTCGAACTTTTTTTTTAAAAAATGTAAACACCAAATCCCTCAGGAAAGCAAGAGTGTCCAGTGGAGGTATGGATCATGGAAAGATGGCTGACAGGTGGTCAGTGGCGAGTAAAGGGATAGAGGAAGACTGACTCTGAGTGTGCGATCCTGTGTTCTGGGTGGCCAGTTTGATCAAAATTGCAGTGTGGGAAAGAATTGCTATGGGAACATAATATTTGCTCTTAAAGAAGAAAAATGTAGAGTTGGTATGGAGGCGGCAAAAATTCAGAGACAAAATAAAGTTCATAGGACAGTTTATTTAGGAAAAAAATCCCTCAAAATATAATTAACAAAGTCTGGCAAAATAAATTCCCAAATAAGCCATGTCTGAAAATGTATGTTTCTTTCTGCATTTTAAGTTCATCACTTCACAGTCAGAAAGTAAGCAGCATGTTTCATGTTCATATGTTTGGCTCTTGGTTTATTATTGCACTGATCAGAATTCTAAAATCTTTCAAAATTATTTTCCCTCTATTCAGTTGTTGTTAATGTACAGATCATTCTAGTTCTGCTCACTTCGCTCTGCAGCAGTTCATAAAAGGTTTTCCAAATTTTCTCTAAAATCTCCCATTTCATCATTTCCCTTAGTACAATATTTCATTACATTCACATCTACCACAGTTTGTTTAGCCATTCCTCAACAGAACAGCCCCTAAATTTTGGGTACCATGAAAAAACGACTATAAATATTTTTTGAATATATACTTTTTTTTCTTCTTTCTTTAATGTCTTTGGGTTACAGTCCTCACAGCTGTACACCTGGGTCAAGGTACAGCTACACTGCTTTCTAGAACAGTTGGTTCAATTCACAGTTCTACCAACAGTACATTGAGAGTACTGCAAAGCAGATTACTAAGGAAAGAGATAGAATTTTCACCTGGAGGGCAGGCCAGAAAGTTTTTATGGCGATGATGATACCTGAATTGTGTTTTCAACAACTAGAGGAATTTCAATAGTGAGAGATTAGGAAGTGAAGGAGGGGACAGGGAGCAGGCACATCCCCAGCTTGATGGAGAAGGAGAGATGGCAGAGCACAGATTGAGAATAAGGGACACAAGAACAAAGGACATCAAGTAATCTCAGTTTGGCTGGAACTCAGAATTCAAGAAGGAAAGTAATATAAGAGGAGGGTAATCAGAGCCTGACTGCAGAGATTATGTGACTTGCCCAGTACCAGCAGTTTATATTTTACAGAACCTAGAAACACTCTTAGAAAATGACCATCACCACTATGACTTCCAATAGAAGGGAATTAACCCAATGGAAATGTTCTCTGACCTGTGTGTTGAATTGAACTACCTGCAGCAGGTAGACCAAGTCAGAGGTAAAATGCCCTAAGACATAAGAGGTGGGGGCCTGGACTAGGGTGGTTACAGTGGGAGAAGCGGCAAATGGGAGAAAGATTAGAGAAGAAGAAAAATAGGATTTGAGCACTAATTAATACTTTCCTGTCCTTACTGTACACATGCAACTTCTCTCTTTTAGGAGCCCTGAAAAATATCAGAATTTTGCTTTAAAAAAGAGGAGTTAGTATGATGAGAACCGTAACGGATATTGGTTTAAAAGGATATGTACATTACTGAAAAGTTAAGTAAAAGGGGATGCAGGGAGAAAGGGGGAGAGAACAGGACTATCCATCATGAAGATCCAATCCAATCAAACAAGCACTGAGAGAAAATCCAGGAACCCAGAGGATGAAACCTAATGAAGGTCATGTGGGTAGAAAGTAGACAGACATAGAAACATAAGTAATATACTACAGACTACTTTGAACAGAAAAAAAAAAAATGATGGAATTAAGAAAACACACCCCAAGCCTAACAGAAATGCATAATATAAAGTAATATGAGGCAGTGTGGTAGAGTGAAAAGGAGGTATATCTGGAGTCAGGGAACCTGGGATCAAATTCTGCCTATGACACCCATTATCCATGTGACCATAACCTTTCAGGGTAGTAGTTTTCTCATCTATAAAATGAGGGAGGTGGATGTTTTGATCCATGATTCTATGACCTCTATGACATTCTAGGATGTCTGCTAGCAGCATTAATTAGTAATTTCTTAATTTGTTTTAATAATATCATACTGAAAATAATAAAGGACTCAACACAAGGAACTTCTTTTATAATGCCCACCAAGAAGAAACTAGTCAATAAGGTCAAACTGACCACTATAGAATTTGTGGAGAAAGAGAAGGTCCTATAGTTTATCACATTTCTATACAGATAACTCTTCAGAACTATATATACAACCACAGTATCTCTGCCAACCACCCATCTCCACCTAGATGTTCCATAGTCATCTGAAACTTAACATATCAAAAATGCAGCAGACAAGTTAGCTGGAAAGCAATTTAGGAACCAGTGTTCAATTCTGTGATCTTATAAATTCTCATCACCAAAATCCTACACTCTTCCAAACTTCCCTATTTCGGTTGAAGACACCATTATCTTTCTAAGTACCCAGGGTCATCCTCTACTTTCCCCTCCTCCCTCTCCTTCACCTTCATATATAACCAGCTGGCTAGTATAGTTGATTTTACTTCCACATCTCCTACATATGCCCCCTTCTGTCCACTACTGACATAACCAAACCAGTTTAGGCTTGAATCGCTTCTCATCTAAACAATGACGATGTGTCTCTCTGTCTACTATACCAATCCCTTCTTCACACATCAGACAAACTGATATTCCTAACACACAAATGTGATAATGTCCCCACTCAAGAAGTTACAATGGCTACCACTTGCCTCAAAGATAAAAAACAAAACAAAACAAAACCCTGTGACTTTTAAAGTCCCTCCTATTCTACCCTGCCTTTCTAAACTTATTGTAGCTAGGTAGAATTCTAGATAAAGCAGTAAGCTTTAAGTCAATTAGAATTGAGTTAGAATCTCTTCTTGGACACTAGATAATGACGCTGGGGCATGTCAGCCTCTCTCAGCCTGTTTTCTCAACTGTAAAATGAAGATAGTAACAGCTCCTTTCTCCTAGGGTTAGAGTGAAAATTAAGTAATATATGTACAGTGCTTTGTAAACCTTAAAGTTCTATATAAATGCTAGCTGTTACTATAATCATTACTACTATTGCTAGTCTAGTACTACTACTACCACTACTACTCTCCTTCACACACTTCATGTTCCAACAAAACTAACTACTTTCTGTCCCTTGTACATAACACTTCATCTCATGCTCTGTGCATTTTGAAAATACTTTGTTTTAATTAGTCAAGATCCAGCTTGTCACCTTCCTACCCTATTGTTATTCCTCTACCCTTCTTTCCATCCTCTTAAGATCATCAAACCATAATAAAACCACTCCTGGCCCTGTCTAATTGGACTCCTATAAACTCTGATGATGATGATGATGATGACAGGGTTCCAGAAGGGACACATGTATCATCTCATATTTGAATATACTAAGGAGCTATCCTTATTAAGTCCTTTATCATCATCCACTCATATTTAACCTTTTTTTGTTTCTCTTCACTCTTGTAATTGAACTTCAAAGTTTTTTATACAGCTCTAGTCTTTTCATCAAAAATGTTTGTAAGTACTTGATTTCATGAAAGATCCATTTTTTCCCCCTGTAGCATTACACATTATGCTAAGATTTGCTGAGCAAGGTATACTTGGCTGTAAGCCTACATTCTTGGCTTTCTGGAATATTATATTCCAAGTTCTCCACTGCTTTAAGGAAGTGGCTAATAAATCCTATGTAATCCTGGCTGTGGCTCTTGGTACTTGAATTCTTTCTTTCTGGCGGCTTTAAGTATTTTTTTTTTTTAAACTGAAAACTCTGGACTTTGGTTATGATTCTTGGATATTTTCATTTCAGGGTTTTTTTCAGAAGGGGACCAATGAATTCTTTCTACTTACCTTTTGCTTTCTTATTCTAAGAGATTTGGGAAGTTTTCTTTCAAGATCTCTTGAGCTATGATGTCTAGGCTTTTTTTTTTTCTTTTTAGTCATGACAAGTAGTCCAATGATTCTTAAATTTTTTTTTCTCCTCAATTTGTTTTCCAGGACAGTTGTTCTCACTATGAGATACCTTAGATTTCCATTCTTTTAACTTTGTTTTAAAACTTCATAAGGCCTTATGGAGTCACTAGTTTCTATTTGGTCCTTTCTAATTTTCTAGGAGTCTGTTGCTTGCGTAAGGTTTTTTTTGTTTTGTTTTTTTTAGGCAACTGGGGTTAAGTGACTTGCCCAGGGTCACACAGCTATTAAGTGTCAAGTGTTTTGTCTGAGGCCGAATTTGAACTCAGGTCCTCCTGACTTCAGGGCCCGTGCTCTATCCACTGTGCCACCTAGCTGCCCCTTGGGTAAGGTTTTGTAACTCATGTGCCAAGCTGTTAATTCCCTTTCCAATTTTTTCTCCCATAGCTCTCATTTTCCT